TTGCCAAGCTTGTTTTACACTGGTGCAGACTTAAGAAAGATTTCCCAGCAGGTAACCATGGACCAAAGTCTAACACATACTGAAAGTTAACATGACTTTGCAAGGATCTTGCCTTGCTACCTGAGGTGAAAATTCTCAGTTGTAGTTCTCCTCTCTGTAAAAACAATAGTATAAGCAAGCAAAAAAAAAAAAAAAAAGGTGGATGAAAACAACTGATATAAAAATGTGGGCAGAGTCAAGCCCCATATCTTGATAGGGCAACTATTTGCTAAAGGTAGAAACTGGTATCTGTAAGTACTGTAGCTCCTCTTCATGTTTTTATAGAGCTAAATGGCTATTTGTATTTCACAGCAAATGACTTAATTCCAAATGAAATAGTCCTCAGAATGGGAAGGTTACCTGCAGCTCTGCTATGCACTCCATCTATCTTGTAAATGTGCCATTTTCATTAAGCATTTTGAACCATCTAGATTCATTTGTATAGCTCTATCCAATTCCCACTACAAATGTCTTCCTTCTTTCCAATTCCAGGATTAAAAATGTAATGGCAAATTTAATGTGTTAGTCGCCCTGTATTTAAATATATGTTGCAAGAGATAGGAGGGGAATGCTGCCTAAATACAAATGAGACTGCAGGGGAACTTAGTGCTCCATCCTCATAGCAAAAATATGTTGAAATAAATTAACTGTTACAGGAACAGTGTATGACAGCTTTGAGCACAATTTAAAAGAGCTAAGAATGCAGAGGCAAAATGTGAAGATAAAGACTAATCCCACTAGGTGCCTCCCCAGAAACATATGTATCCTATTGACCACGCTGTTGAAAAGATCTATCTTGTACTGCTGAATATACTTCTCTAACACTTATTTTAATCCATAAAGTTATCTGCACTGTGTGCATTTAATGACCCTTCAATGTTTTTCAACATATGTAACTGGAGTTACGGAAAGTCTTTTACTTCAATCCAGTGCCTCCTGCAAAGCACTACTTCGCTGCCATCAAGAGTTCCACAGCATCAGATGTTAAACGGTGTTCTGCAAAGTGTTTTTCCCTCCTGCTCTCAGGTCAGACTCTCAAAGAAGAGCAGTACCAGGACATAACACTGCAACGTAATGGTATCGGTATAACTGTGATGAGCAGTGGCATAACTCAAAGCGGGTGTCTAACAGTGAGATCCCTCTGCTCAGCGTGACTTTTCACCTCTGTACTTTTTCCAGTTGGAGAGTATTTGCCAGCATCCTTAGCTACAGGAAAAACATGGACTGCTTTGTGAAAACAAAAGCTTATAGATGTTTACATTTGAATTAATGCTGGCTTGTTAATGTACAAGTATATCTTGGAGAAAGTCATTGTTACTCCCTAATTCTATTTCCTCCTCCTAATAAATTTGGTTTGATATTTCCTCCTGGCTCTGTTTGAAGTCAGAGGCTTTTATTGTTGTTACAAATGATAACGCTCTCTTGTTCTGAGAGGAAATCAGTCTGAAGGATTTAACAACTGTGGCTGCTGTAATGCAGGCTAAAGACAGGATAGTTTGGGAGCACCTACAACGTGCTTAAGAAATCGGCCACTATTCACGGCCCCTCTTTAAGCTGTGTTTATGGCAGCAAAGATCAGAGATTCAGTTGTACTTTTACTATTCAGTTATAGATCACATTTTTTTTCTCTAATCTTTTTAAGTGCTATCTCCCTTCCTTGCTAATTGGGCTGAAGAATTAAAAAAAAAAATGTTAACACTGTAGTTCTAGCTAGCACAGTACAGTTCTATACAAGGCAAAAATGCAAGCATTTTCTGAGTCTGCTACTGAGTAAGGATGGGAGAAATTTGGTTTACCTTCACCATTTCAGCAAAACTAGCAGCAGCATTACCCTACAGTTGCATCACTCCACCTCTTTCACATCAGTATATGTAATATAACTAAGAGCTTTTGAGGAAAAGTGATCAAATATTCATGACCAACATAAGATCAGAAGTTCCCTCCTGAGTTTGGTGCAGATTTTGTTCTCTCTAATGTAAAGGAAGCAGCATGGCAGCCAGACTGGAACGCTTCTCGTGTTCCCTCTGATAACCAAAAGGGATGAATTTGACAAAGCAATCATTATTACTAATTTAATTTTCCTAAGCAGAAGATAGAACTACAGAAATTAAATCTGCACCAACAGTAAAAAACAAGTTGGTTGCATTTTTCTGAAAGAATTTCAGCACTAAGAAATCCAAGGCCAAAAATTGTTTTAAGTAGCATACAGTATTGTGCTTCAGCTGTAAGAAATGGTTATTCCAAGCACTAGTTCCTCAAGCTGATGAATGGCTTGTCTTTATCAAGAGTAGTTTATTTCCAATTCTCATGTAATCATAAAGAATATCTACACAGCTTGACACCATTCTATGCACTGTTGTGTAATACAGAAGCAGAAGGTGGCCAACTTCTTTGATTTTATTGTCTTTTTAATTTGTGATCTGCAGATCCCCAGGTGTGATTTTCCTATCAAATATAAACATAGAAACGATAGATAAAGCTAGTGGAGCAAGAGAGAGTCAAAGTTTCGTAGAGGGAAGTGGTTCAAAAGAATCAGGAGATACAAGAAGAAAGGCAATCCAAGCCGTAGTGTATCTGATTTTCCAAAAAAGCTCGTGGTGAAGCCTCCAGCCAAAAGCTCTTAAAGGACACAAGCTCCCATGAGATGAAAGGAAAGATCGTCTCACAGATTTGTAGTGGTTAAAAGGAAATAAAAAGGAATGCCTGGTTTTCAAACAGATGGAGTTAAGAAGAAATCTTAGTTCTGTGCTGCCTGTCACGAGTTACACCTCTATTAGCAGTGGAATGCGAGTGCGTCCCTAGAATGAAACAGGTGGAGACTGTACAAAGGTATGAAACACAACAGAAGTGCATACTGGTCTGCAGTTCAGGAAATTCCACGAATCTGAAGTGAATAACCCAGAGGACAGCTTGCTCTTTACTGGTCCAAACTGCTACATTCCTCCCAAACTTGCACTCTAGTATATAGTTTGGGAGGATGCATAATCTTTATACAATCTGGTACTGCTACCCAGGTGATCCTACCTAGACAACTCTGAATGGGTATTAATGGGGATTGCTCACAGAATTTTTAAACAGGTTTTTTTTCTCTTCTGTTTCTAAAATGAAAGGACTAAAATGGAGCAGAATGGTTTGAAGTCTCTTTAGATGCTATCAAATGCCCCCGATAGCAGAGGACGTTAGAATCAGTTGTAAGTTGTCTCTTCCACTGTATTCAGGTTGGGTTTCTTTTCTTAATGCAGTTGTAGGAAAAAAAAAAAGTGTGGGAGGGGATTAGAGAGGGAAGGAGGCAATAAGAATAATTTCTTTTTTTTTTTTTTTTTTTTTTTTTTTTTCAGCTACAGCTTGCAGCTAAGGTGCTAGAAGGATAACTGGTTTCATACCAGCCTGTTTGTGAAACCTCAACTTCAGTTTTTTGGGATATTGCAGGTGAGGAGCACGGTGGCTGAAGTAAATATTGCTTGGAGCTCTTGGCTGTCCACGGTTCCTCTTATAGTTCGACAAACCAGTCAACTTGTACAAAAAGCATATGGATAGTTGCTGGGCAAAAGGAAAAGTAAGATGTGTAGTGAAAGGAGAACGAAGCACGCTCAGGGGCTAAGGCTCACATTTCAGTTGTTGCTTTGGAAAAGACTGTGGTAGATGGCTCGATTTCCCATCCTTGTTTGGCACTACTTTGTTTTGAAATTATGGCAATCGGGAAGGGGGATTTCACCAGACTGCTGATAAACCATTGGCAAAAGAAAGAGAGAGTTAAAAAGCACTTCCAGGAAGTTTTCGATGCTGTAAGAAGCTGTAGCTCACATGCACTGACTTCCTTTCAAAAAGTTCGTGTTAGGTTTTCGTTTATAACATTTGGTATCTGATTGCAGGGAACAGAGAATTCTAAGAAAACAATTCTAAGAAATTGCACCCAGATTTTTTGTACTTTCAGAACTTCAATGATTAGTCAAATTCTCAGGATTTTACCAACCTTTAATTTCTTTTCATTTTTTTGAAATTAAGCTGCCAACAATGGGGTTTGTTTTCTATTTGATTTCTTTTCCCTCCTCCAGTGTAAGCTCAGCCATTAAACTTTTGGAAATACTGAGCCATACCTGGGGGAGGGGTGGGAGTGAAATCATCACTGTCAACTGATGCATCCAAATCTGGGACATTTTGAAGATGTTAATGATGCTTGATGCACTGAAATAACGAGAAACAAAAAGGGGAAAAAAAAAAAAAAAACATGTCACTTTAAGCTCTTCATAAGCCTGATCAGCTTCTGACCAAAAACTGTGCACCCCAGCTTTCCACTTAGACTGCAGTGAGCCTTTCCAAAAAACAAAGAGGGAAAACTTTAAAGGAGAAATGTGTATTTTAACTGCATTTTCTTTCAATTTACAGGATTTGCTAAGCGTTAAGGCTGATTTACCCCCACATTAATGTTCATTTCTTGAACATTTCTTGTTGTGCCCATTTTCTAGCGATGAAAAAATCAGTTATTTCTGAAGAGCTGGTTTACTGGATTACGTGTCCTTAAAATAGTTCTGTCTCACATGCTGTTACTTTATAAAGAGGCATCAGTGATGACTGGATTAAATACAGAGTTGATAGTGTGAGAAGAACATGTTGGGATAACCCAGCATCAAAGCTTCCACAGCAGTATTTAGGTTGCCTACTCCCAAATCCCAAAGCTTACCTCTTGTTGCACAACACATCACCTGTGCTGACACTGTGACTGCGTACTTTGAACACACATCTTCAAGTATCTGTGATACTCCGTACATTTTGCTTTTTAGATTCTTCCAATTACTAATTTACAATTACTAACCTGCAGCCATGTCATTCATGAATTTCATGTTCATACTTTGTGTGTTCCCCTGGATTTACTTTGTTGTGCTTCTGATCACAGACAGAGAAACTTAGAAGAGCCTTGGGAGGGGGAGGAGTGGGTGGCAGGCAGTAAGAATTGCACGTACCTCTTGTTGTGCATACCTTTGAACACTTCATGGACAAGGTTTCCTTGGTGGGGTAATACTGTGGTGGTGAGTCAAAATACTCCTGTGATGCTGCTGAAGCTTTAGAGTACGGCTCTGAGCAAATGGTGGAAGCCCTCGAGTGCTGGCCACCACGGGTATCTTTTGCTGGCCTGCAGTGGAGTAAATGGGTAATATACAGTAATTAGATCATACTGCAATAACATACAGGCTCCCTTAAGCCTAATGAATGTTTAAGGTTGGTGAGATTTTACATTATTCTGCGTGAAAAGTGTAACTGGCTCTTTTAAAATGAGTTAACGCTCAGCTTAAAAGAAATGGTAAATTGTTTTGTAAATGCTTGGTCTAATCTAAACGTTCTCCTTCATTTAAAGGAGACTTTGAACTTGACTTTTCAAGGTACAGCTGGATGATGCTGAATTAGTAAGAGGCATTTAAAGTCTCATTCCATATTTTCTTTTTTATGTCTTCCTATTTGATTACTATCTTGAATTTCTTATCCACATATCAGCACTTTCAGCTGTAGTTTTGTTTCCTAGCATCGTTGCACTATGGTTTATCTTCATCCAATTCCAGATTTAACTTAAAAATATTATCTTATGCATTCACACTAAATCATGTTCATTGTAGTTTTTTACATTTTAATTGAGACCTTCAATAACAAGACTCATGCTAACAACTCCACGTGTAGTTGCCAACAGCTCTTTTTGGCTGAAACATTCCTGATTTTTCTGACCTTTGTCCTGGGTCTTGTGCAACTACCAAGGCATCCTGCACAGCTGTGTCACATAAATTAAATAAGCTATGTGATTTATAAGACTTCCAGTTAACTTGAAAGCAATCCCTTTGGTACTTCTGATGCAGCTGCTTCTCTCTATTGTATCTTGCTACTTGCCAGAAAACAAAACAAGCAAAACAAAATAAAAAAAAAAAAACCCTCCCCTAATGTTCAGTATCTGAGTACAATTAGGAAAAAAAAAAGCCCAAAGACAAAAAACCAACAACTTTCTTCTAGATGTTTTTTTCCCCCTCAAAATGGGCCTCTTCTGGCTGCCCTTGCTCCTGTTTTCCTTCAGGACTTTCCAGCTCAGGGTGATGCAACTCTTCCTCAGCAATGAGAGAAAGCTTACTATAGAAGTTTCAGACAGAAATGCATTGTGAAAGACATACTTTGGCTAGATAGTTTTGGCTCACAAGGGATGAGAGCATTAGGCACCCAAATTACAGTTACTACAATACTCTTCCCATCTCTTCAATTATGGGATCTGGAGATCTTTGGGTCAATAAATCTAAGATTTCACCAAAATACTGTAATTTCCTTACAAAATCAGTCATTCTTTTCAAGATCAGTAAGCAGGGGAAATGTTGTTCAGTTAAGCCAAACTGCATTAAAAAAAAAAAAAAAAAAAAAAAAAAAAAAAAAAAAAAAAAAGATGAAAAGCCATTTTGATTAGTTGCAGTGAAGGCTGGTTCTTGTCAGCTTCTTGGTTGACTCCAAGAACCACCTCCATGGCTGTTACAGATCTGTAGCTGCAGTTTCCCTTCCTCTAATCCTCGGTGTATATGGGGATGGTTATTAGCCCTTACAGTCCTTCCACCATTTGCCAGTGTGTCCTGCCATTTATAAGTAACAGTAAAAGCAAGAAGTCCAGAAAAGAGCCTTACTAAGAAGAGGTGGTTCAATTTACTGCTACCCTTGCACATGTTGTACGATAATTTAACTACATTCGCTCCTGATCTATGCTCTCACTAAGAGCAATCATTCAGCATCTAAAGATGATTCTTAGGCTGATTTCTATTCCCATTTCTGTCATTTCTTTTTCATGAATTAAAAGAGACAGAAGAAAAAAAAAATACAGTAAGCAGTTTTTGTTATAGGATTATCATCCACATCTTTTATTCTCAGCTGGAAGTACTCTTTCTAGTCCATACAAGCGCTCTCCACTGCTGCTTTTATTCTCATCCCATTTTTTCTTGCTTAAGTGTGTATTATCAGGGTAGATTTCAGTGGTTCAGCTTTAAAAGAACCTTTATTATACCTATCTCCTCCTTGCTCTTTGATTCTATTATTACCTTACAACCATGCTCCCAAAGGCTAAGCAGGTCTGAAGAACACCTTACTGTCCCAACTCATTTGCTAATGTTTACAACTGCAGATTCCTACAAAGCAGCCAGCAGCATGCCCTCAAATTTTTATTTTATTACATATTATTACAGCCTAAGATCAGTTCTAATATGCTGTAGGCTATCCAGGCTGAAAGGAGGAGTATAATATCCTGAGAACTGATTTGTCACTCCATCTCTTCTGCTCGCTTATTTATTTATTGCAGTGATAGTGGCTGGCCTGCTCTGATGTGCCACAAACTACCTGAGGCACTTAAATAAGTAAATTTATTGACTGCAATTATTTAAACTGATTTTGTTTTGGATTACCATTAACTTGTTCAAAGCTGAATCAAGCAGCATATTCAGTAAGTCCCTTTGCTGGTACATATATACAGTGTGTATTGGCAAGCCTTGACTTATTGTCACCTGTTGACCAAACAATCCCTTAAGCAGCTGTACAAAGAGCCATAGCCATACTTTAACTACTTGTGATCTGGCTTTATGCAGACAACCCTATGAAATACACAGATCTGCCTCTTTCTGCTGTCTCTTAGCCTGCAGCTACCCTCGAGCTCAATAGAAAGATTAAAAACTGTTTAAAATTTCAAAGTGTAAAACAGTTTCCTGATTCTTAGTGTGGAATTCTCATGCTCCATGATTTCAGGTAAACGCTTTCTTTACTACTGTAGTGTGAATGTATTTAAAAGCAAACAAACAAAAGGACAGACATAGCAGGCTTGCTGTGATGTGCTCCTTTAAGGTGATAAGACGTACCTTCCATTGTATGGGCTTGGTTTTCTTGTTTTTCTGTCTTCCTCATATCCATCAGATCCACGATTCTCATGGTACCCACCTTGCTTATCTCGGTATCGCCTCCCAGCATGAGCCATTTTGTCTCTTACACGTACTCTTTCTTTCAAAAATAACTTCCTGCACCAGAGGAATAAAACTGATTCATTTTACTGCTCCACTCAAAGTTATTCATTGACCAGCGCCAACAGAATGCATCCATTGCACGCTGACTCCAGACATAGTAAAGACTTCCTTAAGAAAAGTAGGAAGTAAACTTTTTTAAACTACAAGTAACTTCAGTAAAGTCTATTTCTCTACCTTTTCCTATTGATCAAGCAGGACATTTTCTATATTCAACACTTTTTACACTGAACTTATTTATAAGATCCACTCTTGTTCTCCCACCTCTGCTGCAAGGACAAGGCGTGTTGGCCATATAGAGAAACAATCACAGAATCGTTTGAGTTGGAAGGGGCCCTTAAAGGCCATCTAGTCCAACTCCTCTGCAGTGAACAGGGACACCTATGGTGAGGTCAGGTTGCTCAGAGCCCTGTCCTGCCTGACCTGAATGTCTCTACGGATGGAGGAGGGAAAGAGGGCAGCATCCTTTAACTCTCTGGGAAAGGGAAACCCGTTGCAGTCCTTCACTAACCTAGTTGTAAAAATCTTCCTTATATCCAATCTAAACATCCCCTCGCTCAGTTTGAAGCCGTTTCCCCTTGTCCTACCACAACAGAGCCTGCTGAAGGCTGTCTATTTGAGCCCAACGCTGTGAGAGGTCACCTCGCACAGCACGAGCGCCTCCGCACCCCTCAGCCCCGGCTGCCAGCTCCAGCAGCAGCACAGCAGCACCCACGGTCGATGTGGTTTCGACTGGTCGAGCTCAGGCCTCGCATAATGACTTCCCTTCAGTCTCCTCTGGGTGCCATTAAGGAAAGAAGTCGATTTTTCTTTCCGGCTAACTAACAAAGAGACTCTCCTCGGCTCGGCTCCTCTGTTTGGAGCAGAGGGCTCTTTGAAAGGCGGCGAAGACCCCAGAACGCGGCGAGACGAGGCCCAGCCCGTGCTCCCCCCCGCCCCTCACCTGAGGGCAGCGCGGAGCTCCGGCTCTCGGCCAGCCCGGGTCCGCCCTCCACCTACCGCCGCTCCTCCCGCCGCGGGGAGGCGGCCCCTGGCGCGGGGCAGCAGCTGCGCCATACCCGCCCGGAGCTGCCCGGCCTGAGACTGCGGCGCTGCTGCCGGCCCGTCCGGCCTGGGCACAGGGGAGAGCGAAACCTCGGGGCCCTGGGGCGGCCCTGGCGTTGTTCTTTGAGAAACGGAGACCTCGGTTCTCCTTCTGGAAAGCGGGGGCCCTGGGAGGGTATAGAACTGGAAGGTCAATAAAATGAGAATTCAAGCCCCCTCCCCATCCCAGCAGCTGCCTTTTTAAAATTACTTTTGTTGCTTTTAAAGCCAGCTTCCTCGCCATGCAGTGCTTGGGGTTGGAAGGCCTGCGCTGATCCAGGTGGGTGGCAACAGGCTGTTGGAAGGCTGTGGCACTTGTTGGTGACTTGAAGGAGGAGGTGGCCGCTTCATTCCCTCAGATGTAAAGCTGCTTGGTAGATAACTGTAGATAACTAACACACAGCGTGCAGTCTGTTTTTGTGGTGCTCTGCTCAAAGGCCTTTCTCTGCTGAAGCAACGTGTGGCTGCTCTGGGGCTCTGTCTCCGCACTGGCAGCCTACGATGCTTCCCCACAGGAACGCTGTGCTGCTCCTCCGGATGCCCGCTGTCCGCAGGCTTTGAAAAACGGGCAAACACAAAGCCTTTTTGGTAGGGGATATCTCCATTTGTGTAGAGAGCCGTGGGCAGACCCATGGGCTGGCGCTGCTGCGTACTGGATGCTCATTGTGCAGTCCCACAGAGAGAGCTGGAACAGTAGGACGGTGGGGGCTCACGTGGCACGGTGCCCAGCTAATCTGCAGCTTTGGAAAGTTTCCTGAGGCCCATGGTGCAAGGCAGAGCCCTGAGAAGAGCTGGGACAAGAGAAAATCCTTGGCTCTCCAAAGGCTTATACAGCAATACACTTGGGGTACCAGTGTTTCTTGAACTTGGGCTTAAGATGTGCAGCTGTTACAGTGCGGCCCTATTGTAGGGCTAAATGCAAAATCCCCTTTAAGTAATTTGTGGGTATCAGAGGAACTGCTGCCCTTGGAATGAGGAGATGGCTACGGGAACTGAGTACTTGGACATGCGTTTTATAAATTGCTGGAGCACAGTAAGGCTATGATTTCCTGCTCCAGTTGAACTGTGTTAACAGCTTATTCTGCTGTTTACCATTCCCATCTCTCCTAGACCTCTTTTACTGTTCCTGTTTTTAGCCATACAGTTTGTCTTCTCTTTGTCTTGCACCAACTCTGGTGCTCACTTGATCACATAGTAAGCCAATTCAGCTTGCTTTCCAGCCAAAACCAATTTACTTTCTGCTGTTTTAGTGAGATGAATTGGCTTTGTGCTGCAATCAAATGTGTGCTGGAACAAGGACTTGGCAAAAGCACGTCTCAGAGGGAAGAAACTGGGGGAGGGATGTGGGGAGAAGGCTACCTCTCTTGGCAGTGGTGAGTGCTTAATGGAACTGAAGCTTTAATGTGGAAATACAGTTTAAGATGCTACTGCCTACCATCAGTTCCTTCACAGAATCATAAACCCATTTGGATTGGAAGGGACCCATAAAGGCCATCTAGTCCAACGCCACTGCAATGAACAGGGACACCTACTGTGACATAATGTTGCTCAGAGCCCTGTTCAGCCAGACCTTGAATATCTCCAGGGATGGGCATCTACCACCTCTCTGGGCAATCTGTTTCAGTGCTTTGCTACTGTTATTGGAAAAACCTTTTGTCACATATCTAGTCTAAATCTCTCCTCTTTTAGTTTGGAACAATTTCCCCTCATCCTATTACAACAGACCTTGCTAAGGGGTCTGTCACTTCTTATAGCCTCCCTTTATATACTGAAAGGCTGCTATCGGGTCTCCCCAGAGCTGAACAGCCCCAGTTTTCTCAGCCTGACCTCATTGGGCAGGTGTTCCATCCATTGGGTCATTTTTATCACCCTCCTCTGGATGTGCTTCAGCAGGTCAGTTTCTCTTCTTTTACTGAGAACTCCATGTATGCATTCAGTACTCCAGGAGAGGTCTCACCAATGCAAAGTAGAGGGACAGGATTGCTCCCCTTGCTCTGCTGACCATGTTTCTTTTGATGCAGTTCAGGATACAGTAGGCTTTCTGGGCTGTGAGGGCACATTGCTGGCTCATGTCCTGCTTGCTATCCACCAGTACTCCAAAGTTCTTTTTGGCTGTGCTCTATCCTTAAACACCCCAAATTGTAATGAAAGAAGGATTTGCCATGACTCAGGTGCAAGACTTCCTACTTGCTTTGTTGAATCTCATGAAGTTCTCCTGTGCTCACTGTTCCAGCATGTCTGGGTCCCTCTGGATGGCATAACGTCCCCCAAGCATGTCTACTGCATCCAGGCTGGATGTGTCTCTGGGCAGCTTGGTCTGGTGGTTGGCAACTCTACACATAACAGAGGGGTTGAAACTAGATGATCATTGTGGTCCTTTTCAACCCAGGCCATTCTATGATTCTATGATACTGCACCTCACAGCTTGGTGTCATCCACAAACTTGCTGAGGGTGCATTTGATGTCATTGATGAAGACACTAAAGAACATCTGTTGCAATACTGACTCCTGAAGGACACCATTCATCACTGATCTCTGTGTGGACATTGAGCCATTAGCCACTACTTTCTGGGTATGATCTCACAACCAGTTCCTTGACCATCAAATAGTCCAGCCATCAGATCCGTATCTTTCCAATTTAGAGAGAAGGATGTTGCAGGGGATTGTGTCAGAGGCCTTCCTGAAGTCCAGATGGTTTACATCAGTGGCTTTTTCATTATGCACTGATGCAGTTACACCATCATAGAAAACCACTAGACTGGTCAGGCAGGATTTGCCCTTGGTAAAGCTGTGCTGGTTGTCTTGTATCGGCTCCCTCCCTTCCACGTGCTTCCAGGACGGTCTATTCCATGAACTTTCATGATCATCCCTGGCACAGAGGTGAGGCTGACAAGTCGACAGTTCACTGGGTCATCCTTTCTACCCTTCTTAAAAATGAATGTGACACTGCATTTTTCCAGTTACCAGGGACTTCACTTGACCCATATGACGAACAAAACACTTTCTCAGTTTGAGGCTGTGATTTTGGTAACAAAGACAGTTTAATAGCAGGAGTGCTTTACTCCTTCTAAGTCTCTAATTAAAGGTAGTGTGGGATAGTTTGCCAGATTTCATGCTGAAGATGATTAGGGTACTTATATTAATTCTGTTCTCCCATCTGTATAACAGAAAACTTTGGAAAATCCATTCTTAATTTACATCTGGCAAGAGATGCCTGCTCTGCTCTTGACACAAGGAATACAAGGGATGTCTGCTGTAGATACAAGGAATATTGACTCCCCTTACATAGGCAAGGTTTGTACAAGCAGTGAATGCTTCTCCCTTGGTGGCAGAAAATAAGCTAGATGGAGGGTAAAAATAAATATATATATAATAACCACAGAAAGACTTGGTTGGAAATTGACTTCTTCTTGGTGTGGAAGAAGGGATTGAAATATGAAAGAACCTTGGCAGCCAACCTCTACAGTTTAACAAGTGGTTTTGATAAAGTACTTCTTTTTTGGGCTAAAAGGAGTTAGGGTGTTGCCATTTTTGTTTGATGGAAGACTGTGTGGAGCTGAAGGGATGTGATTATAGACTGGATAAAATTCAGTGAAGCTGACAGCCAAGGTAAGAAAGAGTTGAAAAAGTGGATAAGGTCATTATGGGACCAAGTTGCTGAAATGACAGAGCCAAAATCCACCCAAAATTACGTGCTGAGGTCTACTTTCAGATCTTAAATGTAAAACCAAAGGGATTTTCCCTGAGAAAATATGAAGTGAATACAAATTGTTGAGATAATAGTGGAGCTATCTGTATACAACGTAAGAACCCACTAAACAACCCACAGTAAATGAAGCTGGTTTGGACGAAATAAGCAGAGTAGGAATATGTTTCTGAAGTGAACAAAAAATAAATAGAAAGCTCGTGGAAGGATTGAATACAGTACTGGCTGAATTTAGATGAGAAGCGAAAAGGAAAAGAAAGTTTTCGTTGTTTCTTCTTAACTTGTTGCAGGAAAAACGCCCTCTTGTATGTAAAGAAACAATTTTGTATCAAGGATATACCTGACTGTGCCATCAGTTTCTCCTTTTAATAGAAATAGCTTTTGTGGATGAATTTTGGCTGACTGCTGAGTCCAGAGGGAGTAATTTAGAGAAAATGAAGTGTGAAACATTTTGATTTTTTCCTAGTGATTTACTGTAGTAGGTAACATCTGTGTCTTGGATCAACGCTGTTCTGGATACTTGTTCAAAAAAAAAGAGAGGAAAAAAAAGAAAAAAATCCACCCAAGAAAACCATCCAGTAACAACAACCCTGAATACCAAGGTAGATGTAAGGTATAAGGTGCCACAACCAGGTCTCCAGGGGTAGATTTTTCCAGCTAGACAGTGGGGCACCCCATTGGAGTCTGTTCAGTCTGACGGGAACGCTAAGCTCCTGAGATCAGCAGGACTGAAAGTAGCTTCACAAATTGTTTTCCTACCCTCTCAATGTTGCTTTCACACTAAATCTGTTGTTTGTTGTTATAAACAAGAAGAAAAGAATTTGGGTTGAAGGCTTTCTTTTATTGCTTTTTCTTCCTTAGAATGATTTTGAAATCTCTAGTCTTTTGGATGGAGGTAAAGTGAATTTTGAAACTAAGTAATTTGTTACGTGTTGGTCAATTTCTTCTGTTGTAGAGGGAAAAAGAAACAGCGCAACACCAAGTACTGCTTCAGCAAAAGGAGTCCTTACTGTATGCTATATAGATCCCTCTTTTTAGAGCATTGCAAACCACTGTTAGGCTTCTTTTATTTCTGTGTAAGGTAGCCTATGACTCGTTTGCTTAGTGGTTGCTTTTTTTCATGGACTAAGTCCTTCCCAGAGTCTGCTGAGCAGTTACCTATTTCTAATTTAAAGATCTTACTGTATGGCCTTCAGAAAAATGGGATTTTACCACACAGTCTAGCCTCCAGCTGGGGAATAGTCTGCTTCTAGGACACATCTGAAAC